TCCCTATATCGAGCTTTCTGCGACAAAAGTCGCAGGCTCGACAAAAAGATGTACATAATCCAGACCAGCTTAAACACAATGTAATTCACTTAGCATGTCTAAATTCTTGTTGGGATATTATTATTACTATACATTGGTATAGTCCAAGTATGATGGGATATGAAACTCCTATTTATCTGTCCTTTGTCTTGATATCATTGATATTAATTTGGTTTGTCTTGATATCATTGATATTAATTTGGTTTGTCTTGATATCATTGATATTAATTTGTTGATTAAGGTGTCAATACAACAATTGACCAAAAAAACAGATTAAAAGCAAAATTCATGACATGACGTCGACTTCACACTTCCTCAAAAAGTTTCAGAAACAGCTTATTTTGAACATAATTTGGTCAAAAGTTTATTGCATAACTTTTATATCTTTTCATTTTACTATAATCTCAAATATATTACAAATACCTAAACACTTACAGCATAATTAACTTCTCTTTACATGTATATTGAAATTATTTTTTCACAAATTTGCTATAAATAGATGCAACAAATTGGGCTTGCTGTTATTATAACAATGAAATAGGAAAACTATTTAGAAATACATTGGTCATTGTGATTGATTGTTATTTGCTTAAGTCCAGTGTAAAATAATTTCATGGAAATTCAGAAAGAGAACGACTAACAATAAATACAAAAGGTAAAGGCAGAGTGTGGTAAATCAGGATTAAGGATGGAAATTTCAACTGCCACCTGAAAATGAGGGTATGTTGGATGGAGGCAAAAACTTCCAGCAGACAACACTATCTGGGTTTGCTATCACTAATTACAACTATTCTCTGCACATTGGTATACGAGACACCCCAGCCCATGACATATCTGCAAACCAAAAAAGTTACGCGCTGGACACAAAGCTGGACAAACGGACAGACAGAAGGATGCACAGACAGACAGACAGACAAGGCGATTCCTATATACCCCCGAATCTTTGTTTGCTGCAGTATAATTGTTTTTGGAATATAATAAAGAAATGAAAGAACCTTTAGTGAGCAAGCTAAAATACCCCATGCCCCAACATAGAGCGGAAGAGCTTATTTTGATCTGCTGACATAGCTGTTTTGTATAAATATGGGATTTTTTCACATTTTCACCTCAGAAACAAATGGCTCTCCATTTCAAATTTTTCTGATTATCAAACTTATCCCATGTTTTAAAACCTTCATAGATATATCAAAAGGATCTGATAAAAAATAAAAGAGTTACCGAGGCCACAAAAAATATCAAGAGATATCTTTACAAGTTCACAAAATGCTCCCTAATTTCAGATTTTTTCTAATACCATAACTGAATTTATCAATGATTTGATGAGTGAAACATGCAGGTGTGGATCCAGGACCCAAGAGGGAGAGAGGGCCTTGCAAACCAAGGTTTGGAGTGATACTTGTAAAAAATCTATGCATTCATCATGTATGAAGCTCCATAAAGGGGAAGGGGGGGGGCATGCCCCTTGGCCCATCCCCTAAATCTTGGTACAAGTTTTGAGATTATAATACATGCATAAAATGAATGAAATATTCTGGCAACATGAATTGATATAAGACATTTTAACAAGTCACCAAAAATAAAATGCTCTGTAGCTTGATACGACGGCAGAGGTCAAACCCTGAACCTTGAACAGATGGGGCAAGTATGAACACAACATTCAAGCTTGATACAGCTCTGAATTGGATTGTGATTAAATATTTGAAACCGCATAGGTTTCTGATATAGAATGACTGTGGTCTAAGAACTTAAACATTTGAAATTGGACCTTAACCTATTATAGTCCAATATCCAAAATCGAAATATATGGTTAGATTTATCATATCAAAGAACCCCAAGAATTCAATTTTTGATGAAATCAAACAAATTTTAATTTAGGACCCTTTGGAACTCAGTGTAGACCAATTTGATAATGGGGCCCAAAATTAAAAATCAAAATACACAGTTAGATTCAGCATATCAAAGAACCCCAAGAATTCTAGACTCTGAATTAAATCCCATTGAAATTGGTCAAAAAATAATCAATTTACACAAAGTATTATTTTGTTAAAAAAGTGTGGGGCTTAATACAGGCAAGGCAGTAGTACGGCGTATGCTACTCAGCATAAGGCAGAACTTCGAATAATAACATTATAAATTACATTTAATTTATATCAAACAGCAAGCACGAGAAACACGAGCCAAAATCATACGATACATAGAATACCTGTTTTAAATTCACAATGCGACGAATTTCATCCAATGGAATACATTGTAAACATTACAGGTATTCTAAAAACATGTGTTGATGTAAACAAACACATGTGTTTTACCAAAACATATACATGTGCTTCCGTACTATTATTAAATATATTTATGTTCTAATTCGCCAGACTTTTTAAAAAAGTATTGTTTTTGGCCCCCTTTTGACCCCTAATTCCTAAACAGTTTGGGCCATAACCCCCAAAATCAATCCAAACCTTAATCTTTTTGAAGTATGGGACCTTGTGGTACAATTTCATAGAGATCCATACACTTATACACAAGTCCTGAAACAAGAAAAATGCTTGTTTTTGGCCCCTAATTCCTAAACAGTTAGGACAATATCCACCAAAATCGATCTTAACTTTCCTGTTGTTGTATGGAACCTTGTGATTCAATTTCATAGAGATCCATATAATCATACTCAAGTTATGTCTGGAAACCAAATGTCTTCGGACAATGACGACAACAACGTCATACCATATACGACCGCACAAATTTTTGCGGCAGTATAAAAAATGGTCCCCATTTAAGTTATTCTGATTATCACACTAATATACTGATTTGATGAGTGAAAACCTTCATGCCTATTTGAAAAGGATCTGATAGAAAAAGATGCAGGCAAAAAATAAAGTGATGATCATGATGATGAACATGTACAGAAGGACTAACAGATGAATGATCAACAACATTATACCCTCCTAAACTTGGTTGCAAGGGGTATAATAAAGAGACAGAAGATACTTTAAGAAAGTAGGGTCAAAACATGTTCACTTTTTTGGTTTATGGTATTAAAGATAGTGATACAGCAGCTAAATAATCAAAGTATCATTTTCAGTTTTCATTTTAGGTTGAGTAAACCTTTAGAATGATTGATTACAATGTACTACACTGTCCTATTATTGAAATAACTGTATCATATTCATATCTCTAGACTGATAAAACCACAAGAATGTAAACTGTTTAAAAAATGTCCTACACAGATTTATTTTTTATCATTTAACAACAATGAATATGGCATGTCAAATCATTTCTTTTTCTCCTACTCATCAACCATGTTATGATTCAGTTTATAACTGGGTAGAGACACGTTATGATTCAGTTTATAACTGGGTAGAGACACGTTATGATTCAGTTTATAACTGGGTAGAGACACGTTATGATTCAGTTTATAACTGGGTAGAGACACCCATTCATTTTTACAAGTTTTAAATGGCACTGTTATCTGTACATATTAGTTCAATAAGATTACCTGCAGCAAAACACTATTTAAAAAACAAGTATATACAGAGTGCATATTGTAATCCTTTAACATTCTTTGTGTAATTGATTTTTGACAATGTTATGACAGAGACATACCATATAGTACTACATATATATGTGTGTGTGTCTCTGGTTATGACTATGATAGTTTTGAACAATTTTTTGTTGTAAACAAGAATTGCTGTAAGTATGATAAATCTCCAACAGGCTCCTTAGGTCAGTAATCTCCTCCAAAACAAAAACATAAAGAAGTAAATTCAATACAATCTAACATTATCCAAAAAATTAAAAGAATTCTAACAAACGCCCAAAACAAATCTCATACAGTAAACCAGTTTTCCCTAGAAATTGTTTGAAGAATGGGGGATTGACTGAAAAAGATGGTGGTCATGAATTTTGAAGGGAGTAATAGGGCATTTCAAATTTTAAAGGACGGGGGTCTAAATTTAATGCATAGGGCACCACCATGCATAATGCATCTAGGTAAAACACTGGGTAACCTAAGTGAGCAAGTCCATAATACCCTATGTCATGTTATTTTTACTAAGCAACAGCTAAGTGGTATAAAAGGGAAAGTTGATCTCCCAAAAAGAGGTTTATTATGATAAACATACTTCTATCTCACTTGGAAGAATATTAGGCATGGAATTACTGTTTTTGAAATGGTGATCTTTCTGTCACTGTATGCTAATAACCCTATTGTTCACAAATCTCACTCCATTTCAAGTACATGTATCAGTGATAAGTATCTTTCCATGAAGGTTTGACAAAAATATTAGTGTCTGAAAAACCTTAACCTTAGACAGTATCTGTATGTCATCTGCAAAATAAAACTAAGTCCTTCACCAGTAAAATATGGAAAAATGAAATAACTATTTTTCAAACTTTTGCTATGAATACTGTCTTATGATCAGAAAAAAAGCTTCTGTCCAAGTTTCAAAAATTCTATGAATGTTTGATAAAGTAATTGATGTCTTAAACTTTAACCACAGACTGAACTTGAATGTTGACAAGTCAGAGGACGGAAGAATGTAGGATCACTATGTTTCGCTTCCATGACTTTCATCCAAGCTAGACGTTCCCAGACGCGACAAATATTATATCAGACAAATGGAGAAATTGGTGCATAAAATACCAACAAAAAGAGAATAAGTCCCACATTTCCTATTTCAGGAGAAGATAATCCTGCAAATTGGCAAACAGAGGTTGAAACTAAGCATTTCATTCAAGGTAGCATTTCTGCAAAATTAAGCAGATACCAATAAAACAGTTTATAGAAGAAATTCCAATTGTGACTTCCAATAAAGTTCAATGAAACTTTATGACACAGGAAGCATCATTATGAAGTCACCACTCCTGTAAGAGTTTTTAAAAACATTTGAGTTTCAGTATTTCCCATTTAAATTTGAAAGTCTATATTTGCCATCAATAATTATATACATAAAAATATATTGACCTACCTTCCTTCTCGCATTCTTATAGAATTTTGATCACAAATATGCAAATTTATTTCCAATTACATCAGCAGAAACTGTCCAATGAAGCAAATATGTCTGGTGTAACATAACTTGGTAAAATCCAAACTGTAGTCCATAATACATTAATCAAACAAGAATTCTGCCAACAATGTGAAATAAACGAAGAAATGTCACATCTGTTCTTATGACACAAAGTATAATCCTAGGAAATGATATCATCAAAACGATGTTACCTTGATTCACCTGCACAGGTAATTAACGACTTTGTTACTTGTTATTGGTCCAGATTAGAAAAGGCAGTAAATTAGGTGCCATACCTACAATAGTTAAATCTATAATCATTTAACCAGCAAAAATTGATTCAACAACCAAACCAGCATTTAAATAAACTCACAGTGTTAAATCTAAATAAACTATAGTAGTGCTCAATGATTCAACTAATATAAAAAAAAGTCATCAGAATAACAAAGGGAGTGGAGAAGTGTGGAGAAGTTAAATATTTATTCAGTTAGAATCTCTGGAGGTGTTCAGATCCATAACTTTGTACAAATTCTAAAAAGCATCAATTAAAAATTTCTATGTGCTCACACAAGTGTGATTCCATTGTTAAGATAAAATATGATCTGTACCAATTTTTCTGCTAAATTTAATATGATTTTAGCATTAAAAAGAGCATATATAATAATAAGATGTGGCATGACTGCAAATACAACTCTCCACTTGAGACCAAATAAAGTAGAAGATAGCACTAGCTGTTAACATTACAGAAAACTATTTTTTTTTAGTTATTTAAGTTTAAAATGAAAAATTCATCCAGTGATTTTACTGGATATAACCCCATTATCGTTTAGTGGGTAAATCGGGCAACTATAAGGCTAACAATACAACAAAGGCGTCTAGCTTGTATGGATCTCTATTCAAACTCTGATCTCAATACGTCACACTTAGGTGACGTTACAATGAATAGCGGCAGCGAGAACGTTACGTTTATGCGTTACTTCCAACATACTGGGGGCCGCAAATGAATTACTTTTCAATAAATAAAAGTGATCACAAATTAAATGATAAAAGTTCTGAGAAAATAAATTAAAACTTTAAAGTCTCTATGTAATAATATTTAACAGTCCACGGTTATTCACTTAAATGTCCATATGTTAATCACACATTTACTTTTACTTTTCACAATTTACATTTAACACGTGTTAGTCCATGTTTTTATTTTCTTCTTTGCCTCAAAATGAGCTGCTCTAGTTTCAACTTCCAAAGAATTCAGTTCTAACGGATAAAGTTTGCTGATTGGTCTAGATGTCACACCATTTTTTGTTAGAATTATGGCTGATCGTGTAAGTCCATCTTTGCCGTAAATTAATTTGTCAATTACAGCCAAAGTCCAATTTACTCTTGATACATCGTCATGAATCTGAACTACATCTCCGACATTAATGTTCTGTGTGTTTCGACCAGTGTATCGGTAATGTTCCTTAAGCGAAGTTAAGTATTCCTGTTTCCATCTTTTTATGAAGTTTTTAAGAATCAATGATAGAAACTTCCATTGTCTAGTTACTGATTCATGCGTAGTGTCTTTGGTTCCTGGTTGTAAACTACAGTCTTCAAGTCCGTTATACGGTAGCGTCCTGATTCGTCTTCCATATAATGAATGTGACGGAGTAAGGGGTTCGTCGTCCGTTGGATCCGATGAAACGTATGTAAGTGGGCGGTCATTAAGTATACTTTCTACTTCAGTAATTATCGGGTTGAGTGTTTCATTGTCCACCAGTGCTCGTCCTAACTTTTTTAATGCAATTTTTCGTTAATCCTATCAATCTCTCCCACCATCCGCCGAACCAAGGAGCTCTTTTCGGGATAAATCGCCAAGTTGTTCCATAAGAATTAAGCTTCTCGGTTACATATGATGACTTTGTTAAATGTTCAATTTCTTTTGCCCCCGCAACATACGTAGACGCGTTGTCTGAAACCATCACTTTTGGGAGTGACTTTCTACTTGTAAAACGGCGAAAAGCTAAAATAAAAGCATTCTGTGATAAATCCTGCACAATTTCTAAATGAACTGCTCTTGTACTAGCACAAGTAAACAGACATATGTATACCTTTTTGTTTTGTCCTTCTTTAGTTCTTATGTGTAATGGTCCTGCAAAATCCACTCCTGTAACTGTGAATGGATGGTCTTCACGAAGTCTGTCGGCTGGTAGGGGTGGTGGGTCCGGAACTGGATAGGGTCTTCCTGTTACTTTACGACAAGTAACACAGCGACGCAAAAGTGACTTTACGTTTCGTCTGATCGTTGGAATCCAGTAGTGCTGGCGCAAAACTGTAACTGTACTTTCTAGTCCATAATGGAAGTTTCTTGTATGCGCATCTTTTATGATGAGATCGGTTAACTTGTCTTTAGATGGCAATAAAACGGGAAACTTAGCTGATTCTAGTGTATTTGCATTGTTAATTCTCCCTCCACCGCAGCGTATTATATTTTCGTGATCCAAATACAGTTTGAGTTGTTTAACAAGGCTGTTTTTCGTTTGTTTCTCCTTTAAGTCCTTCATTATTTCGGCATAGTTTCTATGTTGTGAATTTCGAATTAACATTATAGACATATTCTGAATATCCGATACGGTTAACATTCCACTATGTTTGTCTTTTCTGCAGTTTTGTATGAATCTTAATACGTAAGCACTTACACGAAGTAGTTTCTGATAAGAAGAAAATTGATCAATGTTGATAATTTGATGAAGTCCTATTGTATCGGCTATCATACAAACCTCGTCCTTTTTCGTCGTTTCTACGTCGTCTGTGGAAACGGAGAGAATTTGGTGTTGATCATTAGGTATCCATGACGGCCATTTAGACTTGTCAGTAATCCACTGTGGACCATGCATCCATAATTGACTATTTTTAAATTTATCGGCTGATATCCCTCTAGATAATAAGTCGGCCGGGTTTGAGTCTGACGGGCAATACCTCCATTTAAACGTCCTTGTAAGTTGTTTGATTTCCGCGACTCGATTTCTAACAAAGGCTGGTAGTTGTTTGTCAGTCTTTAGCCAGTTCAGTACTATCTGACTATCAGTCCAAAGTATCGCTTGTTCAATATTGATATGTTGCATAAGATGATTTAACAGTCTAGCTCCTATAACAGACGCCATTAATTCAAGTTTCGGAATTGTCATTTTCTTCACTGGTGTAACTTTGTTCTTTGCCATCACTAGCTTGCTTTGATTTCCATCTACGTCTACAATATACGCACATGATCCGTAGGCCTTTAAGCTTGCATCGGTAAAAATGTGGATCTGCAAGTTATTCGTGTTTAAGGTGTTGTCTAGGTAACAGCGGGAAATCTCAAGTTTGGTACAATCATTCGTGTCTTTTTGTATCTGTCTCCACTGTAAAACGACGTCTGACGATAACGGTTCGTCCCAATCTACTTTCAACTCCCATATATGTTGCATCAACATTTTACTCCTAACGGTAATAGGACTGATTATTCCGAGCGGATTGTACACTTGTGATGACTGACGGAGTATATCGCGTTTTGTTGTAATGCTATCATCTACTGAAAGTGGGTCTCTGCGTGCAAATGTGAGTGTGTCGTTTTCTGTGTCCCATCGCAAGCCAAGTATCTTGACAAGTTTGTCTTCGTCTAGTACATTTTCGGATGAAGCACGGTCTTGTAGATCTTTGCAGTTTGAAGCCCATGAGCGTAAGTTAAAACCTGCTTTTTCAAATACTGAACGTGATGTATGAAAGTAGTCTAACAAATCTCCTTGTTGATTAAAGCTCGAAATAATATTGTCAACATATAAGTCTTTCTTTAACAGTATTGTCCAGTCAGTGGGATTTTCAGTCAAATGTTTACGTATAACAGCATTTAGGATGAACGGTGAGCAAGTTGCTCCAAATAATACTGACTTGAATCTGTATGTGGTAAGTTGACTATTTGGGTCATCCGGGTTACTAAGCCAAAAGAATCTGGTAACATCACGATCCTCTTCATCAAGACCAATATTAAGAAAGGCTTTTTCTATATCAGTCGACACGGCGTATTTGTGCATTCTAAATCGGAGAAGAATTCCGGTTAAGTCATTCAAGTTTGGCGAAAGATCCATCAAACAATCATTTAAACTCGGACTAACAGGTGTAGGTTTGCAGCTGCAGTCAAATACAATTCTGATTGGCGTGGTTGACGACTCTTTACGTACATGATGGTGAGGTATGTAATGAACCTTTGTGTTCGTTGATCGTTCATCAACTCTCGATAAATCCACGTTTTTCTTGTTCATTTATAATTTGTCCGTACTGTAAAAGTGTAGGTTCACGACTAAGACGCTTAATGACATTTTTTGTTCTCCGTTGTGCAACACTTCTGTTGTCTAGTAAGATAGGGTGTTCCTCCTTCCAAGGTAACTTAGCAACATATCTGTTTCCATGGTAACTAATACAATTTGCTTCATATACATCTTGGAAATGTCCGTTTTCAGATTTGTTGTCAGTACTTTCTATACCAGCAGCTTCAACTTCCCAAAATTTCTCCAAGTTAAGCTCTTCAACTTTGTGACCTACTAATATGTTCATCATTGACGTACGTGTGTGATCTGGAGTTGCAGGGAGTCCATTGATTGGGCCGGACAGAAGGTATCCGATTTTCGACTTGACGGCAGTAGGTCCTGCTCCTCGCACTATTCTATCCTCGACAATCGACCAGTAATAATCTACTCCAATCAATAGAGAAACTTCAAACATAGGGTCATGTGAGACGGGATGGGCTAATTTCAAGCCATACAAATACTTTAAGTGGGTTGTCTTATGTACATAGGTTTCCTCTGTCTGACCAAGGGATTCTAAACCACGTACATATGTTTCTATCTTGTCGTAATAGTTACGTAAGCTCTGTAGGGTATTCTTGGGTGACGGTATTTCAAGTAATGCATTCATGTACTTTTGCGTGATTTTGTGGACTTGTCCATACCTTTGTTGTAGCAACGAAACTACTTTCGTAATTTGAGTTTGTAAGTGCAAAGCCATTTACGGTTTGGAAAGCTTCATCGTGTAACAATGACTTCAAGTAATTGAACCTCTGGACGTTACTCAGTGTTGGGTTTGTATGTACGGCTGCTTCATACGAGTCCCAAAAGGACTGCCATTGTAGAATGTCGCCATCGAAAGTTGGTAGATTTAGTTTAGGGAGCTTATTGTACTCGCTAGCAATTGAGGAATATGAGCGAAAATCTGAACGGAAATGTGTATTGTGCTGATTTTCTGTGCTTGAAGGATTATTAGTACTAGGATATGACGGCGGAACGTCGCTTCTAGAGTTTGTAAAGCTTGTGGCATTTGTATTTAGCGTTGATGTTTGTACTGTGATAAATTTAGCTATTTGACGTACTTTTGTTTCTAAATTAAATGAATACTCATCTGAGTCAACAATTTTTGTTTCAATGTCCTCTTGATCCAAATTCTGAATAATGTCTTCATCTAATTTCCTTAACAATTCTTGTTTCCTTTTCAAAGTGTCTAAAATGTTCGAAAGTTCATCGGAATCAACAAGTTCTGTTCCGCTCTCCCGAATTTCGTCGAATTTCTTAAATATTCTTGAAATGGCGCTTCGATGTCCTGCACGTATCGATTTCAGCTTCAAATTCATCCTGGTCGCTTGGCACCAATATCGTTTAGTGGGTAAATCGGGCAACTATAAGGCTAACAATACAACAAAGGCGTCTAGCTTGTATGGATCTCTATTCAAACTCTGATCTCAATACGTCACACTTAGGTGACGTTACAATGAATAGCGGCAGCGAGAACGTTACGTTTATGCGTTACTTCCAACACCCATGTTTACAGGATATTTTACTCAAACATTTATTTACCTTGTTTCTTTCTTTTACTTTTTTAACCCATCTTTCTATCAAACATTTTAACTGATTCATCCTTTCAAGCATATCATTTTCATACTACTTTGAACAGTCATTATCCATCAAAATGTTCAATACAAATTATGCAAATGCCAGTCAAATTCATTTCTGATGAATTGATCAGACAATACCATCACCAGATTTTATCACAAAGTAGTTTACCTAATTGGAGATCAGGGTACTGATATTACTGTGTTGTACTGTTACGGAACCTTAGCTTCTCATAATAATGTTAAATATAGGTCCTCAACTGTCTACCTATATTAAAGTGTTCATAAACCTCAATAATATTGAGTGACTTTTCATTTATCTTGATTAATGATATTATATCTATAAGAATTATTACAATTGATTAATATCAAGACAGCTGTTATATGCACAGATTAATAACAACAGGCCTATTCAATAAATGTTTATTTATTAAGAAAGTAGTAGGTATTCTTTAGTAAAAAAGCTTAAACTGGCCATGAAAATGATGTTTGACAAATAAATTCAATTTGTTTATATAAACACTACAGCACATGCAAGAACCAACACAATCTTTATGCCAGTGTTTTCCTACAATATCAACACCTATCTTATAAATACTTTCATAATTGCATGTGCTCAGTATCCACTACTCATAATTTGACAAACCAAACAATTTTTGCCGTTTTTTTTAAGAAACATTAAATTTATCTTGATGAATATTCATTCAAACTGTAAGACATTACAGTTAACACTTTGTTAACACCAACCAATTATCTTAAAATAAAATGCTCCACTGGACGCAGCTTGATACAAACGAAGAGGACAAACCCTGAACAGTTTGGGCAAGTATGGACACAACATTCAAGCTTGATACAGCACTGAATTTGGATTGTGATTAAATATTTGACACAGCATAGGTTTCTGACACAGAATGAATGTGGTCTAAGAACTTAAAAAATTTTAATTTACCTATTCAAACCATATCATTATTATTTGCTTTTATATATAAATCAGAAATAACCAATTTAAAATGGAAAATTTTAAAGAAAAAAAAGGAAAAAAAAATCCCCCCCAAATTTTTTGAACGCCCTTATGATTCATCACCCCCAAACTCAATCCCAGCCTTCCCTTTGTGAGATGGTACCTTGCAGTACAATTTCAGAGAGATCCATACACTTGAACACAAGTTATTGTCTGGAAACTAGAAAAATGCTTATTTTTGGCCCCTTTTTGGACCCTTATTCCTAAACATTTTGGGCAATTACCCCCAAACTCAATTCCAGCTTTCCCTTTGTGATATGGAACCTTGTAGTATAATTTCAGAAAGATCCATACACTTACACACAAGTTATTGTCATGGAACTAGAAAAATGCTTCTTTTTTGCCCCTTTTTTTGCCCCTAATTCCTAATATTTGGAGGCAATTACCCCCAAAATCAATCCCAGCATTCCCTTTGTGATATAGAACCTTGTGGTAGAATGTCAGAGAGATCCATAAACTAACATACAAGTTATGTCTGGAAGTTACAAAAATGCTTATTTTTGGCCCCTTATTCCTTAACTGTTGGTACCATAACCCCCAAAATCAATCCCAACCTTCCTTTTGTGGTATTGAACCTTATGGTAAAATTTCATAGAAATCCATTTACTTAAACTAAAGTTAGAGTGCTAAAACCAATGTGTCTTCGGACGACGACGACAAAGACGACGACGCCGATGACGATGCCAACGTCATACCACAAACGACTGCAAAATTTTTTTGCGGCCCTATTAAAAAAACTCTATTTTGTTATATCTAAATTTTCCAGACAAATTAAAGACTCTTATAAATGCATCTCCTACTCTTTGGAAAAGGATAACGCAAAATTACAGAAACTTTTTCTGTGGTCACCCTTTTATATGTATTGTTTCTGTGCTGGTAAGCCAGTAAATTCAAAAAATGAAATACAGTAAGATAAATGAAGTCCTGCAGTGATAGCTTTGCTGTTTTTATGACATAATACTACATTCAAAATATTCATTTACATAAATCATTAAATAAAGTGAAATTAGAAATGCAGGTGCATACATGTATAAGTAGTTTTTTTAAATTTCTAAACACTTGTATCTAAGAACGAAAAGAGATGCATAACAGTAGAATATTGATTGATTGAATCATTCCATACATCTACACAATTGTAAAAAAATAGATTCAAATAATAATCTCATAATCAGTAAGACATAAAATAAAGTAAGAATCAAAAATATATATACCTGGAATTACCTGTGACTTTTATCTTGTCGCCTTAACTGTTATGTCAACATTATTTCCTATAAAAAGACAGTTTAAAATACCCTTTATAATACAGATAACACTTCAAATATTTAGCATTGATCTTTAATTAAATAACAATTATGTGAAATTCAAATAGAACAAATTCTCATACTATTTTAAGCTTTAATTTGGCTTGGTCATTTTATTGAAAGTTCACAGATAATAAAATGCTCCGCTGGGCACAGCTTGATACGACCGCAGAGGTCGAACCCTGCACAGTTGGGGCAAGTATGGACACAACATTCAAGCTTGATACAGCACTGAATTTGGATTGTGATTAAATATTTGACACAGCATAGGTTTCTGACACAGAATGAATGTGGTCTAAGAACTTAAAAAATTTTAATTTACCTATTCAAACCATATCATTATTATTTGCTTTTATATATAAATCAGAAATAACCAATTTAAAATGGAAAATTTTAAAGAAAAAAAAAGGAAAAAAAAAATCCCCCCCAAATTTTTTGAACCCCCTTATGATTCATCACCCCCAAACTCAATCCCAGCCTTCCCTTTGTGGTATGGTACCTTGCAGTACAATTTCAGAGAGATCCATACACTTGAACACAAGTTATTGTCTGGAAACTAGAAAAATGCTTATTTTTGGCCCCTTTTTGGACCCTTATTCCTAAATGTTTTGGGCAATTACCCCCAAACTCAATTCCAGCTTTCCCTTTGTGATATGGAACCTTGTAGTACAATTTCAGAAAGATCCATACACTTACACACAAGTAATTGTCATGAAACTAGAAAAATGCTTGTTTTTTGCCCCTTTTTTGGCCCCTAATTCACAAAGTTTGGAGGCAATTACCCCCAAAATCAATCCCAGCATTCCCTTTGTGATATGGAACCTTGTGGTACAATGTCAAAGAGATCCATAAACTAACACACAAGTTATGTCTGGAAACTAGAAAAATGCTTATTTTTGGCCCCTTTTTGGCCCCTAATTCCTTAACTGTTGGTACCATAACCCCCAAAATCAATCCCAACCTTCCTTTTGTGGTATTGAACCTTATGGTAAAATTTCATAGAGATCCATTCACTTAAACTAAAGTTAAGAGTGCGAAAACCAATGTGTCTTCGGAAGACGACGACGACGACGCCAACGTCATACCAATATACGACCACAAAAATTTTTTTTGCGGTCGTATAAAACCTATGTTCCCTGACAGAAGAAACAAATTATTTGGTGCAAATCCAGTTTCCAGAATGTTTACAATAATAAAACATAAAACAGAGAAAAAATAAGAGAATGTGGCAATTAATTTCACTAAGAATAAAATGAAAAAACAGGGTAGCAATGTTTTATATGTGTCATATAACAAATAATTTGTATATCCATCTGTTGCAGTAATATACAGTTGTTGAGTGTGAAGAATAACAGTAGAAAGGCTGAGCATTTTGAGGAATATAGCAAGTTGTCAATGATAACTGATAACAGTTATAGAAAGTTGGCAACAAAAGGTTCCAATAAATGGATAGCAGGGGCTTATAATAATAGCACTTCAAGGAATCCTGGTGTTTGGGAAGCCTTTACCTATAAGAACAGGACATTTTACAATAATTAGGTATTAGGAGACAGATAATTGGTTCAGCAGATAAATAATAATATAGTTATCTTTTTTTCCTGAAAGGCCTGATGAAGATAACCAAAAAGATGTTCTTTAGGTATGGCTTTACATATTTGGGTCTGATGTAGCAGACACTATAACTTTTGGTGTATGTGGTGAGCTTTGCTTTATATATTTGGGTCTGATGTAACAGAGACACTATACACTTTGGTGTATGTGGTGAGCTTTGCTTTATATATTTGGGTCTGATGTAGCAGAGGCACTATAACTTTTGGTTATGTGGTGAGTTTTGCTATATATATTTAGGTCTGATGTAGCAGAGACACTATAAACTTTGGTGTATGTGGTGAGCTTTGCTTTATATATTTGGGTCTGATGTAGCAGAGACACTATAAACTTTTGATGTATGTGGTGAGCTTGGCTTTATATATTTGGGTCTGATGTCGCAGAGACACTATAACCTTTTGGTGTATGTGGTGAGCTTTGCTTTATATATTTGGGCCTGATGTAGCCGAGACACTATAAACTTTTGGTGTATTTGGTGAGCTTTGCTTTATACATTGTTATATAATCATTTTCCTTTTGATGGTCATTGATTATTTAACATAGGTGGTGTGCTTTGCTTCAGATGGTCATTAATTGGCTGAAGTGAGGAGCTTTGATTTAGATGGTCATTAATTGGCTTAAGTGGGAAGCTTTGCTTTATATGGTACATAATGGTGGATATTTGATGTGTGTGGTAGGTTTTGCTTTAAATGATAATGACACGTTAAGTGTATATGGTGAGTATAGATTTTCAATGGCCACTATCTGGATTATGTGGTTGAAATTGCTTTGGATGGCAGTGGTTTGGTGTATGTGGTTGAATAAGTTGAATAAGCCACTAGTCCGATGCCCCAGACTAGTAAAATTGTATTTGGACTAGTATTTGCAAAACTTTGTTTACACACATAAAAAAAATTTCTGAATATCGGTCGTCGGACTAGTAGGTGGAAAAGATTTTGGTGCAGACTGTGGTAGTGCTTGGTGTATGTGGTTAACATTGCTTTGGATGCTAGCGGTTTGGTGTATGTGGTGGGTATTGCTTTAAATGGTAGTGGTTGCTGTATGTGGTGGGTATTGCTTTGGATGTTAGTGGTTTGGTGTATGTGGTGAGTATTGCTTTTTATGGTAGTGGTTTAGTGTATGTGGTTGGGTATTGCTTTGGATGGTAGTGGTTTGGTGTATGTGGTGGGTATTGCTTTGGATGGAATTGCAGGTGGGTAGTAGTTTGGTGTATAAGTTGGGTATTGCTTTGGATGGTAGTGGTTTGGTGTTTGTGGTGGGTATTGCTTTGGATGGTAGTGGTTTGGTGTATGTGGTGGGTATTGCTCGAGATGGTAGTGGTTGGGTATGTAGTGGGTATTGCTTTGGATGGAAGAGATTTGGTTATGTGGTGGGTATTGCTTTGGTGGTAGTGGTTTAGTGAATGTTGTGGGTATTACTTGGGACAATAGTGGTTTAGTGTATGTGGTGGGTATTGCTTTGGAATGTAATGGTTTGGTGTACGTGGTTGGTATAACTTTGGGTGTATGTGGTGGGTATTGCTTTAAATGGTAGTGGTTGCTGTATGTGGTGGGTATTGCTTTGGATGTCAGTAAATTGGTGTATGTGGTGAGTATTGCTTTGGAATGTAATGGTTTGGTGTATGTGTTGGTGTATGTGTTGTGTATTGTTTTAGATGGAAGTGGTTTGGTGTATGTGGTGGGTTATTGCTTTTGATGGTAGTGGTTTGGTGTATGTAGTTGGTATTGCTTTGGATGGAAGTGGTTTGGTGTAAGTGGTTGATATTGCTTTGGATGGTAGTGGTTTGGTGTATGTGGTGGGTTATTGCTTTTGATGGTAGTGGTTTGGTGTATGTAGTTGGTATTGCTTTTGATAGTAGTGGTTTGGTGTATGTGGTGGGTTATTGCTTTGGATAATTGTTGTTTGGTGTATGTTGTGGGTTATTGCTTTGGATAATTGTTGTTTGGTGTATGTTGTGGGTTATTGCTTTGGATGGTAGTGGTTTTGTGTATGTGGTTGGTTATTGCTTTGGATAATTGTTGTTTGGTGTATGTGGTGGGTTATTGCTTTGGATGGTAGTGGTTTGGTGTATGTTGTGGGTTATTGCTTTGGATAATTGTTGTTTGGTGTATGTGGTGGGTTATTGCTTTGGATAATTGTTGTTTGGTGTATGTTGTGGGTTATAGCTTTGGATGGTAGTGGTTTGGTGTATGTGGTGGGTTATTGCTTTGGATGGTAGTGGTTTGGTGTATGTAGTTGGTATAGCTTAGGATGGAAGTGGTTTGGTGTATATTGTGGGTTATTGCTTTGGATGGTAGTGGTTTGGTGTATGTAGTTGGTGTTGCTTTGGATGGAAGTGGTTTGGTGTATGTGGTGGGTTTTTGCTTTGGATGGTAGTGGTTTTATGTATGTGGTGGGTTATTGCTTTGGATGGTAGTGGTTTTGTGTATGTGGTGGGTTATTGCTTTGGATAATTGTTGTTTGGTGTATGTTGTGGGTTATTGCTTTGGATGGAAGTGGTTTGGTGTATGTGGTGGGTTATTGCTTTGGATAATTGTTGTTTGGTGTATGTTGTGGGTTATTGCTTTGGATAATTGTTGTTTGGTGTATGTTGTGGGTTATTGCTTTGGATGGTAGTGGTTTTGTGTATGTGGTGGGTTATTGCTTTGGATAATTGTTGTTTGGTGTATGTTGTGGGTTATTGCTTTGGATAATTGTTGTTTGGTGTATGTGGTGGGTTATTGCTTTGGATGGTAGTGGTTTTGTGTGTGTGGTGGGTTATTGCTTTGGATAATTGTTGTTTGGTGTATGTTGTGGGTTATTGCTTTGGATAATTGTTGTTTGGTGTATGTGGTGGGTTATTGCTTTGGATAATTGTGGTTTGGTGTATGTTGTGGGTTATTGCTTTGGATGGTAGTGGTTTTGTGTATGTGCAGGGTTATTGCTTTGGATAATTGTTGTTTGGTGTATGTGGTGTGTATTGCTTTGGTGTATGTGATGTGTATTGCTTTGGATGGCAGTGGTTTGTTGAACATGTATACGTATGTGCAATTTTTATATAGATAATATACTTCTATTGACAATATAATACTTCAATGGTGCCAAATCATAATCAGGGAATAATTCACTGTCTGTGGAGTGGGTCCTGGGGACATCATTGTCCAAAATGGTAAAAAAAAAAAGAAACTAGCGTATCAAGGTAAAAATATTGACAATTTTAAACCAAAAAGTTAATCTATTTTAATCAAAGGATCAGACACTGATAAAATCATACTTGGTAAAATTTGAATCATTTATTTGGTTAAAATCAATTTAGCAGTCCTTTTTCTTAATGTGTACATATCAGCTGTACTATTAAATGTAATTTGTCAATTTTGTAAAT